ATGGAGATAATAACATGCACAAAAACAAGACAGAGCAAAACCAAGCAACAAAAGAAAACATCAACAACAAGCCAATGACAAAATACAAAACAAAACACAAGAAAGAAAAGCTTGTAGTTAGTTCAAGGACTGTTTGTTGGCCTTTAGGAGTGTTTTCTGGTCGAGTCTAATGGGGTGCCAAGCCCTGGCCCCAAAGTCTATTTTTTGGTATTCCCTAGGGACTTCTTTGCTCTGTTCCTCTTGCTGTTCTGTTCCTCTTGCTGTTCTGTTCCTCTTGCTGTTCTGTTCCATGCCCTTAGTGTTTTCCATTGGTGTGGTGGGATCAGATTGGGCAGAATTCCCACACTATGTCTCCAGTGTTGTCCCCTTTAGGACTATGGGCCAATGAGGGATGTCATGTCTCATAGTGGGACCGGCCATATATGTTCTTCTTTGTGGATTGGCTGCTCTGAGCGGGAATCTCATCATCAAGGCTTGGTGGGTCAGGATGTGCTCTATTCTCTCTTCCTCCCCCTTCATTTGTTCCCTTGTGTTCTGATCAGACATGTCTGTCTCCCAGAGCTGCAGATTCAGTGCTGTCCTCTGAAATAAATTCTTCTTGGGGGAGGGGCAGGAATTTTGCACAAATCTTGATGACTTTGTTGTCTTAAATTATTTTGTTTCAGATGATACAAAGGACGCAGATTCTCTGTCAGATGAAGCTACACACAACAGCAATCAGAATAATAGCAACTGTTCTTCTCCATCTCGAATGTCTGATTCAGTATCTCTTAATACTGATAGCAGCCAAGACACTTCACTCTGCTCTCCAGTGAAAGAAACTCGCATTGGTATTAATTCTAAAGTCAGGTTTGTGAGCATTTTACAAACTTATTTATTTCCATAATAAACAGAAATAATAAGGCAACTACAACATAGATCCCAAGAGGGAGATTAAATTTTATTTTGGTTTGCTTCTGTATTTTATGCAGAACTCTTTGCTTTGGACAGTGTTTTAATCTACATATTTGAATTTAATAATTAGTATGGGGGAAAAAGTATGTTTAATGTCATGTTTCAGAATTTTTTACTCAGTTGTACAAGTTATTGGTTCTTTCCATGTATGTGCCCATCTTTCAACCATTTCATTTTAAACAGTCAAAAAGGCTGCCACAGAAAAGGAAGATACATAAGTCCATTTTTCTGCCTTGCTTTATTTAGCCCTATTAAACTAGATTTAGTACTATCTATACTAGAGGTACTATTTCTGGTTATTAATTGTTCTGTATTCATGGAAAATAAGTTTATTAAAATAATGTTTTATAGTAAATTTCTTTTATTTGTGACTACATGAACTTGCAACTTTGTATTATTACCTACAGATTAACTAATTAATTCTTGATATCACGTTACTAATAAACCTGGCTTTGTGTTGTTTTTCATAAAATTATCTTTGTTTTAGGAAAGAAGATGATAATTTTAATAGCCTTTTGCACAATGGAGACATTTTGAATAGTTCAACAGAAGAAAAATTCAAGATCCACGATAGAAAAGATCTTAACCTCCCTGAATTTGATTTAAACGTTGAAGAGCGATTGGTTCTAATTGAGAAAGGTGTTGATTCAACAGCCACATCTGATGAGTCTCACAAATTAGACCATATCAATATGAATCTTAATAAACTAGTAATGAATGATACATTTCAGCCAGAGATCGTGGAAAGATCAAAGACACAGGATATAGTCCTTGGAATGGGGTTTTTAAACATAAATGCTAAAGAAGAAGTTGAGCACTTGGAAAATGGAAACACGTATTCTAATCTGGAGTCCATAAATAAGGTAAATGGGCATTCTGAGGAAGCGTCGCAGTCTCCCGGAAGGACTGAACTATTTGACACAGATTCTTCTGTTGACATGGGTCTTTCCAAAAGCACTGAAGATCTCTCCCCACAGAGAAGTGGATCAATTGGGCCTGTTGTGAAATCTCATAGCATAACTAATATGGAGACTGGAAGACTAAAAATCTATGACATTCTTAGTGATGACGGACCTCAGCAGCCAAGTGCAACAATTAAAGTAACATCTGTTGATGGAAAAAACATAGTCCGGAGCAAATCGGCCACACTTTTGTATGATCAACCTTTACAAGTATTTACAGGTTCTTCTTCATCTTCTGATTTAGTATCAGGCACAAAGGCAGTTTTCAAGTTTGACTCAAATCATAATCCAGAAGAGCCAAATATTATAAGAGGCCCCACAGCATGTGGCCCACAGTCTATGCCTCAGATATATGGGCCTCCACAGTATAACATTCAGTACAGTAGTTGTAATAGTAGTGCTGCAGCCAAAGATACTTTGTGGCACTCCAAACAAAATCCCCAAGTAGATCATGCCGGTTTCCCTCCTCAGCGCCTTCCTAGATCAGAAAGCACAGAAAGTCACAATTATGCTAAACATTCTGCAAATATGAATTTCTCTAATCACAATAATGCCCGTGCTAATACTTCATACCATTTACATCAGAGACTTGGTCCAGCAAGACATGGGGAGATGTGGGCTGTCTCACCCAATGACCGGCTCAATCCTGGATTAACTCGGCCCACAATTCAGCGACAGAGTAGTGTGTCCTCCACAGCCTCGGTAAACCCTGGTGATCCTGGTCCCAACAGGAGGGCCCAGATTCCTGAAGGTGATTATTTATCATACAGGGACCTGCATTCAGTGGGCAGAACACCACCCATGCTATCAGGATCACAGAGACCTCTTTCTGCACGAACATACAGCATTGATGGTCCAAATGCCCCAAGGCCTCAGAGTGCTCGACCCTCTGTCACAGAAATACCAGAGAGAACTATGTCAGTTAGTGATTTCAGTTATTCACGGACTAGTCCTTCCAAAAGACCAAATGCCAGGGTTGGTTCCGAGCATTCTTTATTAGATCCTCCAGGAAAAAGTAAAGTCCCTCCTGATTGGCGAGAACAAGTACTCCGACACATTGAGGCCAAAAAGCTGGAAAAGGTAATCAAAGATGAATTCTTTATTCTACTCTAAAAATTTTATATATTTTCCTTAAACTTGTTTGGAATACTTTTAAAAAAAAGGTAGAATGAAGATACTCAGAAGTAAGGATTATCTAGGAGTTTTCCTTTGCTACTGGGAATGGAGTTCCAAGTTAGACTTGGCCAGGAGTCAAAGCACTTGAAATGGTAGTATAAAGATATTTCCCTTTCTTACTCCCCATTTTTTTGAATGATCTTATATCTCTTTTATTTGTTAATGTGTGTATCACTTTTAGATTGTATTAACATGCCTGAAATCATGCAAGTGTATACATGTGCATTGCCACTTAGCCTTTTCTGACTGCGTGTTCTCCTCGCCCAATAATTGTGGATTATTTAAATATTTTTTAAAATAAAATTTCAGGTTGCAAAAAAACCTGAGTAACAACTAATGGTATTGTAAATGTAAATATCTCATTTAGGAGTTCCCCACCAGTCCACATTATATAAACTAACATTGTCACCGATTGCTTCTGGCATGGCATTGACTGACTCAACTGCATTTCTGCCTTACTTGAATTTATTTACAGGTTTCTGTTCCTGTATTGTAGTTTGGCAACAGAGAGACTGCTTGTGTTCAGATTTTATTTGTAGTTGTCTATTCCTTGAAAGGAATTGAAAATTTAAAATTTTCAGATTGTACCCATATTAGTACCATAGTTCCTTGACCCCAGCATAGAAGTTAAATTCTTTAAGGTTCAGCTTCATATCTCATTTGATTTTCCCCCAAACAAAACCTGACCTTTATTTATTAAAAATAAGTAGTTTTTTGTTGAACAAGTTTGTAGGTGCTCTGTTGCTTATTTATTATTTTAAGATTCCTTAAATAAAAACCTCAATATAATTAATACCTTATAGTAACTCAGTTGTTATAATTGCTAGCTCTTTTTAATACTGTCTCTAAGTTTTAAAACAGTTGAGAATGTATAAGCCTGAGGCTTTCTTTCTCATCTTTCCATTGTGTTTCTGCTGTACTTGACTTGTTTTTGAAGCTATTTAGATTGTGCTTTTCTAAGATATTTGGAAATTTCATAAGCAGAGGAGTAACATAGGTGTTAAATACAAGTTGTATAAATAAACTTTTTTTTTTTTGTATAAATAAACTTCTAATGACAATGTGAAGCTGGGTTTGAGGAGGAAGAGGCCGGAGTCTAGGAGATGAGTTATCGGGCTATTTTAGTGATGCAGATAAAGAATAAGATCTGAACTATGAAGTGCAATTTAGGCAAAAGAAAAAAATCAGAAGATAGTTTGAAAGAGTCTGTATTCATTTAGGGAAACTTGATGTTTGTGCCTTCGACAAGAGAGACTCTGTGAGAACAGAAACAAGGCAAACTGTGTGCTTTGAAGTTAAGAAGGACACAGCCCCCACCCCCCTTCTGTCCCCAGGCTACTTACTCAATGGCCAGTGCACAGTGGTCGTATATTCTGGTTCATTAGTTAGGAAGCATTTTTCAAGTAAACACCAAATATATGCCACTGTTATTGCAGCTCTGCTTTGTTCATTATCAAGTATATTCTGAGTCTTTATTAAATGTATACTTGTTTACTTTCTTGTGATCGCAGGTAGTAGTTACATATGAGATAGTTGTTTTTATTGACTGTTATGTTAAGATATTGAACTATCAAAAATCGTTTCTTATATTTGAGAAACCATATTTCTAAAATGAACTTAAATATAAGTTACATCTTTTTCAGTCAAAACATGATTTAGTTACTGTGTTGTATAGCAAGGACCGCTGCCAGTACCCTTGTATAAGCTATGGACTGCTGACCAGCAGCTCCAAAGGACAAAGATATGGCTGCTTCTGACTGTAAAGATATACACTCTATTGTGCAGAGTCACAGTAAGCCAGGCTCAACTCCATGGCAATGATGTATGTTGTTTGTGCCAATAGAGGGAATCCCAGCCCTACAATTTTAAATTACTGTATATACTCGAGTATAAGCCAAATTTTTCGTTTTTTATTGCAGCTTCTGTGGTAAAATTGGGTGCCTCTGCTGATATTCAGGTCAGCTTATACTCTACATATGGCACCTAATTGGAACAAGTAACTTACCTTTTCTTGTCTCAATTGCTTCAACTGTAAAAGAGGCACAATGAAAGTATTGCCTTTAGGATTGTTTCAGAAACAGAGTTAATGTTGAAAAAAGACCAGGAACAACAATTAAAAAACATAAAAACAACTCAACTTCGAACAGCACTGAGTATATACTAAGTGCTATATAAGTGTTAATTGCATTCATAATTTAACATTAAAAATTGTTAATTAACATTAATGAATTTTTCCTACTTATGGTGATAAGCCATTGTGATGATAATTTTTAAATAACTTATGAAACAATAGTTCTTAAATTTTATTTATATAAAGATTATTAGTTTGAAAAGTTTGTCTTAAATGCCCCTTTTATGAAGGATCATATTGTTGAATAATAGTCCTCTCAGACATGCTCATAGAAAAAATAACAGTAGCATACCAGCAGGGAATTTGACAAGGTTTGACATGCATACACACACATACAACTGGTAGCAAAATAGAAAATTGAAATGTGTATGTATTTTCTTTTTGGTGACATCCTTAATTTATAGTTTTAAAAAAATCTTAATGTATTAATGGTAGGTGCCTCTCAATTATGAGTTTTGAAGGTTTTTTAAAAATACAATTTTATGGTGGTTTAATTTTAGGCAGTGGGGGTATGCAAGAGTAATCAGAAGGTGAGAAGAGTTGGTTTTCATTCCAGAGTTGAGGAGTGATATGATAAAACAATTATTTACAATATCTCCAGCAGAAAAGTTCAGAATGAAATGATGAAGGTAGTTTGGGAACTTATTTTAATAACAAAGCGGCAAAATCGTCATAACATATGCTAGGATTGTGGCTGCAATGGAGATACATCTGAAAAACATTTGGAAGAAAATGATCTGCTTAAGTGAAGGGTCCAAGCAGAAGAAAACGTTTCAGTTCAGGTTATTAGAGTGGTCACCTTTAAAATAAAAATTTGAAGTCTTTGTAAGGAGAGTAGAATCCCTCAAAGGATGGGTTGTGTGCAGTTGTGATTTGGCAGAAAATAGCTTACCGTATATATTTGTATATAAGCCAAGTTTTTCAGCACATTTTTAATGATGTTTGTATGGTAAAATTAGGTGCCTTGGCTGATGTTCGGGTCGGTTTGTACTCAAGTATATATGGTACTTAGTTTGAAGTGTATGGAATTTGATGTGATGATAGTTGCACGAGTTACTTGAAACAATATGAATAGAGTTAGCCATGCAAGTTTGAAACACAATAGAGTTAGCCATGCAAGTTTGAAATGCAAACCATTGGAGTTAGTGAGTTTTCTTGGGCATGAATTTTGTAGGGAAAGTGTTTTCTCTTAACTTGCTTATTGATCTAAAGCCATTAAAGTAGAGTCCCATTATATGTACAGACTTAGGCCTCCTCCAGCATTTTCCTATCCCTTGCCATTAATTGTGCCAGGTATTTTGCCATTTTAAAGGTCAAGTGGTTTGAATGCTCAAACATCTCTCTACAGATTTACCTTTGTTCTCCTTTAATCTAGATCAGTGGTTCTTAGACTTTACTAAATGGATTCTATAAACAAAAGCATATATAAGGGGCTTCAGAAAGGACATGGGGAAATCCCAACGTCTTTCCATTGTGGTTTTTCACAAACTTTTTGAACCCCCCTTGCATAGAAAATTTCCAAGAGTACTTACATGTGTTCACCTTTATGCAAGCTTGACTCGAACTCCCTCTTTACACATTTATATGCTATGCCTTCTATTTGTCTGAACAATGTATCACTGGTCTGTCACTATGCTCTTAAAAGTTACTTCATTCAATAGAAATAATATTCTTAAAGTTGAAGCATAATTTGAGCCATTTTCACTTTGAAAATTAACTCTATCTCTTGATTTTATTACTCTTGAGTTCCTAATAGCTAAGAAGATGCTTTTAATATACTTTTTAAATGTTCTAAAAACATAATGTTTTTGTAACTGCTATGTTAATATACAGGCTCTTTGTATTCCATCCTTGCTGTGTTATTAGCTACAGGGATGACAATATAGGCAGAATGAGCGTAAAGTGTTCTATAAATGGACTGCTAGTTACTTTAGTACTATTACTATTCCAGTGTGACAGAGTAGAACTAGCTGTCATGTCTTCTCCCCTTTTCCCCCTCCTCACTGGGTTTTCTAGGCTCTAATCTTTCTGGGAGCAAATCTCTAGGTCTTTCTTCTGTGGAGCCCCCGGGAGGTGGGGGGGTGGGGGGTGGGACGGGACTCGGTTGTACCACCAGGAGGGCTCCTTCAATCCACTATGATCAAGTTGATTCCAACTCTTAGCACCCTTATAGGACAGAGTAGAACTACTCCATAAGGTTTCTGAGGCTGTTAATCTTTACGGAAGCAAACTGCCTCATCTTTCTCCAGTACAGCTACTGTGGATTCAGTAGATCCAAACCACTAACTCTAACAACCAGTACTTAACCCACGACACTACCAGGTGTTATTCAAAACTCCATAGGTGCTTTTGATAGCATTGCAGTTTAGATTCCACACTTACGAGCATTGATTCCAAAAGGGGGGAAAGAGGGTAATGGAGGATATCTGTGTACCACGTCTGCGCCTTCACCCCAAAATAAAAGTAGACATCTGAAAAATTCCCCAAGGATTTCCCAATGCCTGCCTTCTCTTTAGAGGTAAGTCAAAAAATCAAAAGTTGGTACATTGCTCAGCTGGGAGTTTAGTACTAGAACAGAATAATATAGAAATGGATAAGTTATTTCTCTTGTTATTTATTATCTAATATAGAAATACACAAGCTATCCCTGGAACGCAAACATGGAAAATAGCTAGCTTACCTCAAAATCTCAAGATTTCTTTAAACTTATTGAGAAGCTTTGGAAAGGAATCAAATGTTTTTATTTCAAAGTTGAATTAATATTAATATCAATTTGTTGCTTATATTCCTTATAATACAAACATTTTTTTTTAACATTTTATTAGGGGCTCATACAACTGTTATCCCAATCCATACACACATCAAGTGTGTAAAGCGCATTTGTACATCGTTTCTCAAAACATTTTCTCTCCATTTAAACCCCCGACATTAGGTCCTCATTTTTCCCCTCCCTCCCCGCTCCCCCCTCCCGCAATATAAACATTTAAATAAGAAGCACTCCAAACCAGAAATGATTCCCACAATCTGGTGATTTTCATGTTCATTTGTTACCATACAAGTGTTCATTTGCAAGGAGTGACATTACCCAGGACCTGCACGTAGCATTTAACTAAATTCTGTACAATGTATTTGACAGGTGTGGCTTTATGTGGGCTATTTTGAATTCAAGCCTAGACCTGTGCTAAGCTGCAGCCTTCATAAAGAAATGAAACATTTACAGGAAACTCATAATACGAAGGGGCTTCATAAAATTCGTGGAATATAGGATGAAAAGATAATTTTTCCACAACCTTTTTGAAGCCATATACATTCAGAGATTATAGAAAATCTTTATTCTAAGATCTAACTAGTTGCCATTAAGTCAGTTCAACTCATGTTGACTCCAAGTGTGTCAGGACTGGGCTCCATAGAGTTTTTAGTGTCTGATATCTTCAAAATAAGACCATCAGGCTTTCTCCCAAGGCATATCTTTAAGTTTAGCAACCAACTGCAGTAACTGTACACCTGATGTATACGTCAGAAAGAAAGACTAATCAGGCCACTCAAATATAGCAGTGCGTTAGAATTTGGGGGTGTAACACAACAGTTGTGCATGGTTTTCATGTTCTGTGTATGTGTAACACAAAGTCCAGTCAAATGGTTATGTAGCCTCTAATTGCCTCTGCTAAAAACTTGGTGAAATGGTTTCAGAAAATGCCGTTCTGTCCCAGTAGTTTTGGTCTTCTTTAGTCTTTAGAATCTACAAGGTAACTAAAAGTATGTCTGATCATTTTATAGATCCTTTCCTTTCCAGAACTGCATATTAATGATACTTGGTATGAGAGAACAACTTGAAAATGTGGGGATGGCGTACACTGCTTAAGTGCAAAATTTTGCCAAGAGTGAAATTCCTTTACAGCATTTTTGCCTTAATCATATGCCCAAATGTGATTTGACTTCAGTTTATAGAGACATTAATTCAGTTTCTGTTTTCTGATGCTTTTCTAATAAGACATGATAAGAGTTAAAGAAAAGAACATTTTAAAACACAGCTGTATGTTTGTATTCCTTTCTTGGTGTCAAAACATGTGAATGAATGTATTTACATGTAATTTATGTATGTGTATGTTGTCATGTAAATCTCTTTGGTAAATGGTGCCAATTTCATTGGGGCACTGAAAATTCAGTGTTGCATGATATTTCTGCATGATTTGGGGTGATAAAAGAGTGAAATAACATGTCCTGTGAATGTTGCATGCTGCACTAATCTCTGTTAAATCTATCCCCTCTTTATTCAGAGCATGCTGTCAAGGTCCTTTAATTCCAATTTCACTGCTGTAAGCAGCTTTCACTATGGCAGCTCTAGGGATCTGCATGGCAGCCAGGGCAGCCTTGCCTTGAGTGTTGCAGACGGAAGAGGTTCTGGTGGGCACATTTTCCGAGTGAGTACTTGCAGTATACTGTAGACTAGCACTTTTAATACCTAGACACTCGCCCACTTGCTTTACATTTCCCTAGGAAAATATTCACTGTAAGTTAGAAATCTTGATCTCCTCCCACTTCTTCCATGGCTTAGTTCTAAATCTTTATAATATTTCTTTGATCTTGAAGGAAGTAATCCATTAATGATGCTAAAAGGGATACACAACAGAAATTAACTGTTGGAGAGGCTCTTGAAAAAGTATTCTTTGCAGTGTTTTTTCTTTATATTAAAGTTAAAGAGAATTGTCTCCCTAATAGAAGATTTAAGGCTTATCCCTTAATGCAATCCACAACTGGGGTTATAGGGAAGAATAACTTTCATTCAAATTGTCTAATGAAAAAACATTAACCAGAACTAGGTTAAATCAGAATTCACTGAGGATGATTAAATGTGAAGCTGGAGACATTGTAATAAGTATCCATGGGAAGCAAAACCAACATATATTTTACCATAGTCTTGAGTAGTCCTTGTTAGATTAGTGTGGTGACAGTCAGGTATATAGTGAAGAAGAAAGGTGTTTTTTGTTTGTGTTGGGTTTTCCTTTTTATGGACGTGTTTAAGATTAGGGGTGAGAATGACTGGGAAGGAGAAAGAACAGAGCAACTCTGGCTTGGTCCTGCTTTAGGACGTTTCTGTCCATATAGCTTCCATGTGGAACAATGGTCACTGAATGAGGCTTTCTCCCATCCTGGCCTTCCACCTTGAAGAAGACGTTTCTCCCATATGGGGAGAAAGGTCTCAACATTGACTATGCTACTTCTGGATTCTTCACTTTTTCTTGAGCTCCTAGTCTCCTTTTTAAAATAAAACTCAAGTTTCACTTTATTTCGTTTTAGAGTAGGAGCTGTCTGCTAATTTTACTTTTCTTTGGCTGGGTCTCAGCTAGCCTCACTCTGTGTCACATCATTCCTCTTGATTTCTATGTTATATGAAGGTGACAGCAGTCCTTTTGAAACTTGTCAGTTTAAACAAGATTTTGAGAGCATGGTGTTCACTATGAATGTAAGTGCTGAATATTTCCTGTTCTTCTGGCAACAGAAGACACAAAGGAAAAACCAGCAGCAACTTTAACTCAGGCGTCATCTTGCCCTTTGTTGTCATTTGGGACAATTACCCTTTTCCCCTAATTCTTCTGTAGTAACAATTTTTGCTTGCTTTTCTTAAATTCAGGATCTTTTGTTCCATATAATTTTGTTTTTAATTCAGTAAATGCTTGATTTTTGAAAGTGTAGCTAAGTATACTTGTACATCCAGGCTTGAGTATAAATTTTAGTCTGTGAGTCAGATTGATTGGTTATTGTGCATTCTTAATAAATATCAAAGCAGAAAAGAAGAAAAATAAAAGTATTCATTGCAGCAATATACAAAATTATACCAAACCACATTTAAAAATGCTAAGCCATGGCTTGAACTAGCAACTAAATATATTGTTTGCAGATATACCTCCTAAGATATATCTGTATATTCTAAAGTTTACATGTATCTTGTCAAACATAATGAAATAGATTCTAAAAATGTTTTTTTACACAATGATTTCACTTGCATTTCTATCTTGCTTAATGTATATATTGTTTTAAGAGTAACAACTCTACTATTATGACAAACTGCTTACTTTAAAAATCCTATCTAGTTGTTAAGAATTAAATTATAATGAAAAATCCAGATGCCTCATTTCCCATCATATCATAAATATTCAGGACAATTAGATGTTGAGTCTATTTTCTGTTTAAAACTGTCCATGAGATGAACTACATATAAAGAATATATTAAGGTTAATTTCCTTTTTAATTCATTCTTAAAATATATTTTTTAAAGCATTTCAAAAAATCCGTTTCCTTCAAAATATTGGGGTAAAATTAAGATAAAGCAGATTTTGTAAGCTTTAAATTAGTTGATACTACACATAATTTTTAAAAGAAAGATCATGTATCATATACTGTTTTAAAAATGACCCTTTTTTTTTGCCAAAAATCTTTTTTTGTGTGTGCTCAACAAAAGTATATTTTAGCTGCTCTTATAATTTGAGGCTATTTATCCTATTTATCCTGATAACTACATTTTTTGCTCAAGAAACTCAAACGTTAAATATTATTTATATTACACTAGTAGGAAAGGGGGAACATGTAGAAGAATGTGTGTATTATAAAGAAGGAGATTAACAGTTTATGACTGCATAAACTTTTATACACCACAAAATATTTTTTTGCCTTGTAACTTTGGAAGAACTCTAAAAGTATTAAAGGATATTGATGACAGTGTTGATGGGAATTCTTGGTTGTGATCTTCATCTTTCTACTGCCTAGCAATGTTTTTTTTCACCTAGCTTCTCACATGTCATCATCATGTTGGTTTCACATCTTAAAGAGCATTATTTGTTTACTTTGTATTTCCACCTCATTTGAAGACTCCCCAGACCTCCGGTCCAGGAGATCCTTGTCAAGATGATGTGTTCATTTCAGGACAGCAGATCTACTCGTCTGCTACACTTAGTCACAAAGATGTTCCTCCAGACACCTTGATGAAAGTAGGTGCTCAGGAAGTAAATGATGCCATGCCTTTGAGCTTCTTATCTGTGTGGTTTGGGAACTAGTGATATCATATACACTTGAACACTTTTTAAAATCACTTATTGGGAGGGTTTTGCTTCTCTGACTAGTAAAAAACATTATAAGTAGTACAGAACATGAATACAACCTCTATTTTCTCGGTCTCTTCCATGATCTCCATACTGGAGGATCCCTTTATTGCTGTATTTGGAGTTCTGTAGAACTAACTACCATATATACTTGAGTATAAGCCGAGTTTTTCAACACATTTTAAATGCCGTTTTTGTGGTAAAATTAGGTGCTTCGGCTGTTATTTGGTTCAGCTTATACTTGAGTATATACGGTAATTATTTTATCATTTGAATTGGGGCTTTTGCCATGTCCACAAGTAACTGGAAATTTGAAGATGAACCTGTCTTAAATTCTAGAGTATTTTGCTATTATTAAAATCCAAAACCCATTGTCATCAAGTTGATTTAGAAACCCTACTGGACAAAGCAGAGTTGCCCCTCAGGGTTTCCAAGAGTCCAAAGCATTACAGAAGATGACTGACATCTTTCTCCTGTGAGTTTCTGGTGCCTTTACACTGTCAAACTTTTTTTCAATTAACAGCTGGCTGCTTACTTACTATACCACCAGAACTCCCTTTACTGTTATTAAAATACTTAAAATTTAATTTTATATCACCTTGGAAGACTTGTATATATTGTAAACCAGGTGATGGATGTATTCCTCGTGAGTTGATTGACTATTACATATTCTGAATGAATGTCACAATAAAAGAGGAAAACAGTATTCATTTTAGAAATATACAGAATTACATCAAACCACATTTAAAAGTGCAAAGCCATGGTTTGAACTAGCAATTAGTAACTCTCATAGGCAAAAATACCTAGCAACTTTGGATAGCTAAAATGATTCATTTATTTAGAGATTCAGTTTTATCGACCATCCATGCCAGACTGAAAATTCTTTACTATCCTCCCTCAGCTATTTCCCCTACCCCCCTTTTTAAACCTATTTTTGTCCCTAGGATAACCAAATGAAGTGTGTAACTGTTATAAAAATTGCTACATTTAAAAAAAAAATTGCTACATTGTTTTATTAAAGTTGTATATAATTCTTGAAAGTAGACCCTCATCCATCTAATTTATGAGTTTGTATTGTATCTATTTTGTTTCCCTCCCCCAGAGCTCTCATCCATTTTTTTTTAACTTAAGATAACATTTTTGTGGTTTCGATTGTTGAATTTCTTAGGTTATTTCTTCCCTGTGCCATCTGCAAATCATAGCTTAAGATAGCCCATGCATGTGTTTGCCATTAGAAATATCACATAAGACCAGATACCTACATGCCAGGGGTCTTTCGAATAGGTCAGAAGTAATGATTGCCCAGAGAGATTTTTCCTGCAAAGAGGCAGTAAATCTGCATATAAGAACAACATACCAGCCTGAAGAAAAGTAACTGCCATTTACAAAATTGTACACAGTAATAAAGTGCACAGCAAAAGCAGTTAGTTACTTCTGTGCAAATAAATTGGTTTAGGTCTTCAGTGGGCAAATAGTAACCAGCTACAAAGTTTTTTTCAAAGATACAGGGATGATACAGCATCTCGTTCTCATTCCTCCTCACCAATATAAGAGTGGTTTGTACAGTAAACATGTATGTTACCTGAGTTATTAAGTATAATACAATATAGCTCAATGAAAAATAGTTCTTAATAGTAAGGATGACTGTAAACAGTCCTCACACACAAAAAATAAGCTATTAACCCATTCTCACGAAAGGTGATGCTAAGTCTAAAATTCAGATTTAATCTATAAAGTTGGAGTTAATTTACAACAAAGATGTTTCTTAAAATAACTCTCACATTTTTATTCAGCTTGTGAAGATTAACAAAGTTTAATATTTATGGTAAAGAGTATGAAGTTAATATTTAGAGTTTTTAAATTGTTAATTAGCATGTGCAAGGTGGCTTCAAAAAGTTTGTGGAATTCCATTTTTCCACGGGCATTTTGAAACCCCCTTATATGAAGAATAAATCAATTTACTACTATATAGTTAGTTGAATTGTCTTGTTAATTCTGGAAGGAAGGATTAGTAGAAAAACTTTTAAGACAATTCTTTTCTGAAGAGAAACATCAGTCAATGTATTTTGTGTACCATTTTTAAAGTTGAAATGATAGTGAAAGTGGGGTGGTATTGTGTTGTTTACCAATGCTTTTGCAATGCTGCAAGAAGAAAATCCAATTATGTGTAATATCACTGGTCATTTTAAGACACTTCATGTTTTTCTTAGATGCCTTTGAGTAATGGACAGATGGGCCAGCCTCTCAGGCCTAAGGCAAATTATAGTCAAATCCATCACCCCCCTCCTCAGGCATCTGTGGCAAGGCATCCCTCTAGAGAACAACTAATTGATTACTTGATGCTGAAAGTGGCCCACCAGCCTCCATATACACAGCCCCATTGCACTCCTAGACAAGGCCATGAACTGGCAAAGCAAGAGGTAAGAATAAACAAGGCTATTTAAAATATGAGACTAAGTTTTTACTGTTTTTCAAAAGTTATTATTGGCAATGAATCCATATAGAGTTTTAACTAACAGTTTGCCATTTTAAGTTTTGGTTTTATAATAGTTTTGTCAGATAAAATATTTGTAGTTTAACTTGCCTTAATTCCTTCAATTTCTGATTTCCTGACATAGGACTTAATGTTTGAGACATGACTTTTCTCCTCCTGAGGCAGTTGTTTACCCAGTCTATTTCCAGTTGTCAAACCATCCCCAATATAAATAGCAGGACATCAGGCTTAGTGGTACTTTGTGATTTACTATCATTTGTCTAATAATAGTGGTTCATCAGATTTTAATTTTTTTGTTTTAAATCTTAAATTTTGACTGTGGTCTCCAAACTGCTTGGTAAATTAAATCCTTAAAAAAAACATTAGCCATGCATTCTTATGTTTCAAAAAATTATTAGTATTATTCAAAACTTAGGTAGAAAAATGCTGTGTTCATTTTGGTTGAGTCTGGGGAAAGAGGGGAATTTTTTCTAACAGCTTAGTTCTTACATAGTTTTCATAACTGTGCTATAAAAAGTGTTGTATCAGATTTTAAAATCCATTACCTGTGAAGAATAGCAACAGATTTGGGAA